TTAGGAACCGCTTGACAACCAGATTGAACACGTGAGCCATGCATGGCGCATGGCACAACCTTCCTTGACGCAGAGCAGACACCATGTTCTTTCCGTTGTCGGTCAACATGGTTCCGATTTTCAGTTTGCGCGGAGACAGCCATCTGTCGATTTCTCTGTTCATTACACTCAGAAGTTCCTCCCCTGTGTGACTACGTTCGCCAAGGCATACCAGGTGCAGCACAGCGTGACACCGTTGCGCCCTGCACATGTGATATGCCGGTCGGGTAATGGGACTTGGCACGGGGGGGGGGGTGGCGGCTGAGGACACGGCGGAAGAAGAGGTGGTAGAGGCGGACATCTTTTGTGGACCAAGGACGTGCAAACGTGGAGGCAAAAGCGGCGTGACCTGTCCAAGTTGCTGGTGCGGCTGTGCCGGCACCACGTTCACCCAGTGGGCCGTAATGACATGTGTACTGTCCCTGACCGTAGTTACAGCTCCACACGTCGGCGCTGCCGTGCACTTTGGCAGAGACCGACATGCTCAAAGACTGGCCCACCATCTCTTCTACATGTGAATGCAGGGCTGGCACTGCCTTTTTGGCGAAGAAATGACGGCTTGGCACTCTCCACCGCGGCGCGGCACAAGCCATCATTTCTCGGAAAGGGTGCTGAGTCCACCACTTGGAAAGGGAGGGACTGCAGCACCAGCAACTTGGACAGGAGGACGTTCAGCTTTTGCACCGTCGGGTGCGTGTGCTCGCAAACTGTTGTCTCTTGGAAACGGATTCCAAGAAAGACTGCTGACGGAATCCGTGAAGAGGAGTAGCAGGAGAAGGAGCATCTGAACGAGCGGAAGATGCCAACGAGCGACAACTCCCCTCAGCAGAGGTGTTGGAGCCTTGACTGGCTGATAGAGGGCGATTGACGTCGGGTGACGGAGCAAGTAACGGAGCGGGTGATGGAGCGGGGGCTGGGGCAGGCAGAACCGCCGTATCTTTATCACGGTTTTCCCAGGCCACCAAATGGCGACGCTGCATATGCTGCCGCAACGCTGTAGTCCCAACATGGGCCCCCTGGCCACGCTTGACTTTCTGGCCACATAGTCGACATACGGCTACGTTTACTTCCTCGGGCGGCTTGACGAAAAATTGCCACACCGCCGAGTAGGAAACTTTGCCCCCGATACTCCTCACTGGCTGACTGCTACTTCCTCCGTGCACACCGGCACACACTACTGGCCGTGGTGGTAGGCTGCAGTGGAGCTGGTGCTCTACTCCGTGGCCGTTTGCCTCCACTGACACTGCTGCGACCCTGCTGCCTCCTGGGCAACCCACCGACTGTTTTGCTCGCTGCCAAGCTGCCACCCTCTTCTCCTGATGATGCGGAAGCAATAGCCTGATGACGACGAGGCTGCCAAGTGCGATCAGCCTCATCATCATCAATTAGGGTCTCCGCCTCACTACTAGCCCCCCCTCGGCTGCGTGTGGGTCAGGAGACAGACCTGTCTCTAGACTGGCTACCGAGCCACTCTCCTCGCCACTACTTCTTTCGCCTGGCTGCTGAAGAGGCGGATGTCTCCCCCCGTTCCTGACCGCCCTCTGTTAGCTCTTCCTCACTGTACAGTGGGGCTGAGCCCACAGCATGCGATACTTCACTTGGTGAGGGAACACCAAAGGACAGGGGCAGGTAGAGGACACGTGATTTCAGTGGGCTTGCTCCCGGGCCATGCCAACTAACGGTTGTGTCTGACGTACCCACCGACCGTTGGCTGTAGGTGTCAGAGGTGACCTGGGAAGAGGAAGACGACCGAGCCAACCAATCGATGACGGCAGGGTTGTCGGTGGAGACACGACCGCTGGATGACACCGGGAGCAATGGCCTCTGGCTGCGACTAGTGCTGCCTCGAATCCCTTCCTCTGCTGCCACGTCTGCTGCTCGCTCCTAAAACATTGCCTCCTCTGCCACTCCTCTGCATGTTGTCTGACATACTCTTTAATTCAACGATTCTGTGTCCCTGAGTAACAATTCTGTGTCTGTCCCTGAGTAACAATTCTGTTCTGTGTCTGTGTCCCTGAGTAACAATTCTGTGTCCCTCAGTAACACTTCTGTGTCCCTCAGTAACACTTCTGTGTCCCTCAGTAACAATTCTGTGTCTGTCCCTCAGTAACAATTCTGTGTCCCTCAGTAACAATTCTGTGTCCCTCAGTAACAATTCTGTGTCCCTCAGAGTAACAATTCTGTGTGTCCCTCAGTAACAATTCTGTGTCTGTCCCTCAGTAACAATTCTGTGTCCCTCAGTAACAATTCTGTGTGTCCCTCAGTAACAATTCTGTGTCTGTCCCTCAGTAACAATTCTGTGTCTGTCCCTCAGTAACAATTCTGTGTCCCTCAGTAAACAATTCTGTGTCTGTAACAATTCCTCAGTAACAATTCTGTGTCTGTCCCTCAGTAACAATTCTGTGTCCCTCAGTAACAATTCTGTATCTGTCCCTCAGTAACAATTCTGTGTCTGTCCTCTCAGTAACAATTCTGTGTCTGTCCCTCAGTAACAATTCTGTGTCTGTCCCTCAGTAACAATTCTGTGTCTGTGTCCCCAGTAACAATTCTGTGTCTGTCCCTCAGTAACAATTCTGTGTCCCTCAGTAACAATTCTGTGTCCCTCAGTAACAATTCTGTGTCTGTCCCTCAGTAACAATTCTGTGTCCCTGAGTAACAATTCTGTGTCCCTCAGTAACAATTCTGTGTCCCTCAGTAACAATTCTGTGTCCCTCAGTAACAATTCTGTGTCCCTCAGTAACAATTCTGTGTCCCTCAGAAACAATTCTGTGTCTGTCCCTCAGTAACAATTCTGTGTCTGTCCCTCAGTAACAATTCTGTGTCCCTCAGAAACAATTCTGTGTCCCTCAGTAACAATTCTGTGTCCCTCAGTAACAATTCTGTGTCCCTCAGTAACAATTCTGTGTCCCTCAGTAACAATTCTGTGTCCCTGAGTAACAATTCTGTGTCCCTCAGTAACAATTCTGTGTGTCCCTCAGTAACAATTCTGTGTCCCTCAGTAACAATTCTGTGTCCTCAGTAACAATTCTGTGTCTGTCCCTCAGTAACAATTCTGTGTCTGTCCCTCAGTAACAATTCTGTGTCTGTCCCTCAGTAACAATTCTGTGTCCCTCAGTAACAATTCTGTGTCCTTCAGTAACAATTCTGTGTCCCTCAGTAACAATTCTGTGTCTGTCCCTGAGTAACAATTCTGTGTCCCTAAGTAACGTTTCTGTGGCCCTAAGTAACGGTTCTGTGTCCCTAAGTAACGATTCTGTGGCCCTAAGTAACGATTCTGTGGCCCTAAGTAACGTTTCTGTGGCCCTAAGTAACGATTCTGTGGCCCTAAGTAACGTTTCTGTGTCCCTAAGTAACGTTTCTGTGTCCCTAAGTAACGATTCTGTGGCCCTAAGTAACGTTTCTGTGGCCCTAAGTAACGTTTCTCTGGCCCTAAGTAACGTTTCTCTGGCCCTAAGTAACGTTTCTCTGGCCCTAAGTAACGTTTCTCTGGTCCCTAACTCTCTCCCTCAATACAGCCAGGTCTGCCTCTCTTGAATGACTGGAGGCAAATGGAGAAATTCTAAAATGGCCGCCATTTATAGCTCGACCATTACACAGTGCTGGCTGGCTGGCTGCTGATTGGCTAATGCGATCACATGTCATGAATGAATGCATTATGGGTCAGTGCGCCTTGTCTGCGCGCCTTCCCAGACATCGCCGCACACGTCGCCGCCATTTTAGGAAAATTTTCCTAATATTCTAAACGAATTCCACTTCGCCGAGTTCGATTCGCTCATCTCTAGTAATTTCCTTTTCCTGTGTGTGGGCTTCTGTAGTCCTTCCCCCTTTACACACATTGAGGCTAGGAAAACCAGTAATCCTTTTGGACTGTCTTAAACACTTCTACATCAAATGCGTAGCATTTTATTGTATATTCTCAGCACTCTGCACACAATAAAGGCATTTGAGATTTTCAAGTATTTGGTGAATTCAGCTATCTGACAAAGATTGTCCGCACTGAGTGTCTCTACAATTTAGGCCAGGCATAGAGGTCTCAGGAAGGTATAGTCGCTATTACAACAACAATTGGAGTCAGAATACTGAGAGATCGTAATTAAAAATTAGATATCAACATTTTCATTAGCGATTATTAATAATGTAGAGATGGTGACTAAAATAAAACAACATATCTTCTGGGGATCAATATGTGTATACATAAATCCTTCTTTTTTTTACTTTTATTTTTTATTATCTTTCCTTACTGTGGGTTTTCAATATTTTATTACTATAGTCGTTTATATGCAAAAAATGTAAAAAATTATCGTGTAATTGCAATTTACGAAAAGCAGAAAAACCTTAATATGATCCTAAATGCAAAGGTTCTTAATGCATTCTCTGATTGAAGGTAAAAAAAAATACCTGTTCCTCCACCTTCCATCCCTAAACACTTACCTTAGTCCTTCTCCTGCTCCAGTGCCGCTGCTCTCTCTTCCTGCTCTCACAGGAGACACTGAGAGCACTAATAGGCTCCCACTGCTGTCAGTCAAATCTTGTGAGGAGGGAGCAGAGAGCATCGCAAAGCTGCACTGTGGGGTTTATTTAGTAAAGCTGGTTCACTCCGAATCTGGTGCCCCTGTGCATGGTAGCCAATCAGCTTCTAACTTCAGCTTGTTCAATTAAGGTTTAACAATAAAACCTGGAAGCAGGCGTGTGTGGGTCCAGAAAATCAAACAAGAACATGTACTATCCAATTAGTGTCAACACATACGAACATCCTTAGAAGTTTCTAATCTGTCATGCAACCAGAGCTATAACTACTATCGTCAGATGCCTAACCTGTCTCAAGCCTATGCTGGTAACATAGGAGCACTTGCCTAGTAATCCCTGTATTCTGGTCTGAGTTCAGCAACAACTCTCCCATTAACAGAACATCTCTCTCTCTCAGTTCGTGCTCTCTTGTTTTTTAAATAGACAGGAGTCTACAGGGCTTGAAAAAGCCGCTCGCCAAATGCGAGGAGAAATTCTCTAGCGGCGAGCACAGATGATGGAGCGGCTGCACTCCAAGCCTCATTGTGAAGCCAAGTTCCAGTTTCCGATTTCCGGCACCGCCGCTGAGGGGACAGGTGCAGGAGAGGTCCGCTCTCCTCCACTGAGAGGAGCCACCCTCTCCACCACCGTGGGGGACTCATGGAGTAAGTACTGTATACATGTCATATCACTATACTGGAGTACAGGGGAGATGGGATATACATTACTGTATACATGTCATATCACTATAATGGAGTACAGGGGAGCTGGGGTATACATGTCATATACATATAGGGGAGCTGGGATACATGTCATGTATCACTATAATGGAGTATAGGGGAGCTGGGATATACATACTGTATACATGTCATATCACTATAATGGAGTACAGGGGAGCTGGGCTGGGATATACATTACTGTATACATGTCATATCACTACAATGGAGTACAGGGGAGCTGGGATATACATTACTGTATACATGTCATATCACTACAATGGAGTACAGGGGAGCTATACATATATACATTACTATATACATGTCATATCACTACAATGGAGTACAGGGGAGCTGGAATATACATGGAGTACTGTATACATGTCATATCACTACAATGGAGTACAGGGGACATTACTGGGATATACATACTGTATATACATTATGTCATGTCACTACAATGGAGTACAGGGGAGCTGGGATATACATATACTGTATACATGTACAGGGGAGCTGTACATACTACATTGCATGTCACTACAATGGAGTACAGGGGAGCTGGGATATACATTATACATGTCATATCACTATAATGGGGTACAGGGGAGCTGGGATATACATTACTGTATACATGTCATATCTACAATGGAGTACAGGGGAGCTGGTATATACATTATTATACTGTATATCACTACAATGGAGTACAGGGGAGCATATACACTACATTGCATGTCACTACAATGGAGTACAGGGGAGCTGGGATATACATTACTGTATACATGTCATATCACTATAATGGGGTACAGGGAGCTGGGATATACATTACTGTATACAGTTTTATATTTTGGACTCTTTATTCTAAAGAAAAATGTAATTTCATAAGCTTTAAGGGGGCGTGGTCGGGGGGCGGGGCAGGGGTGGGGTTGGAGGCTGACCTGGGCAAGGTTGGGTGGGGCAACTGGTGGAGAGTAAGGTTTGTGCCTGGCTAGTAGGTCTAGACTCAAAATTTTAAGCCCTTGTCTATAACATCACTCACTAGTATGTTCGCAGGAGTCACAATTGCAGCACAGCACACTCTGGATTGATTGCATACTCTGTGTACCCTGAATGCAGAGCACACTGCATGTGTAGTGACATAATTGGCTCCTACCGATGTAAATATCTCCTAAACATACGCATTCATAGTTACATAGTTAGTTCTGCCTGAAAAAAGACAAAAGTCCATCCAGTTCAACAAAAAAAAAGGGTATAATCTTATACCCACCATTGACCCAGAGGAAGGCAAAAAAAAAAAACAAAACAGCAAAGCATGATCCAATTTGCTCCTGTAGGGGAAAAAATTCCTTTCTGATCCCCCAAGAGGCAATCGGATGTTCCCTGGATCAACTTTACCTATAAATGTTAGTATCCAGTTATATTCTGTGTATCTAGGAAAGAATCCAGGCCTTTAAGAGCAATCCACTGAGCTGGCCAGAACCAACTCTTGAGGGAGTCTATTCCACATTTTCACAGCTCTTACTGTGAAGAAACCTTTCCGTATTTGGAGATTAAATCTCTTTTTCTTCAGACGTAAAGCTTGCCCCCTTGTCCTCTGTGATGACCTCAGGGTGAATAACTCTACACCAAGTTCACTGTATGAACCACTGATGTATTTATACATGTTGATCAAAACAAGACAATTGAGCGCTACTAGATAATAATCGGAGGATATATAGAGAAAGAAAGTCCAGGACCTTGTAAGGTCTCTAAATGTCCACTAGGAGACAGCTTGTAATGAGAGCAGGAGATGACTCTGGAGAAATCAAGGAACGGAGAAAACAAGCACCATCTGGGTATAGTATTAAAAACCAATTTAATAAACAAAATCAATAACACTCACAAAAGATGAATGGTCTTGGGCATTTGTAGCAATAAAGATGGTCGTCAGTAATGGTTCCGGACCGCTATGGATGGTAGCTGTGAACTGTCTGTCAGGTAGTTCTGGAGGCTCTCAGGGCTTGCTGGTCAGCGTGGAACGCAGCATGAGAAGTGAAGTCAACAACCAGACCTGACGATCAAAGATGGCGACACATTGCGGAGCATGTGCTCCTTCAGACCATCTTTATTGCTACAAATGCCCAAGATCATTCATCTTTTGTGAGTGCTATTGCTTTTATTTATTAAATTGGTTTTTAATACTACACCCAGATGGTTCTTGTTTTTTCCCTTCTATATATGTTCATCATATCCCCCTTTAATCTCCTCTTCTCAAGAGAGAATAAATTTAGTTCCTCTAATCTCTCCTCATAGCTGAGCTCCTCCATGCCTCTTATCAGTTTGGTTTCTCTTCTCTGTACTTTCTCCAGTTCCCCAATGTTCTTATTGTGAATTGGTGCCCAAAACTGAACTGCATATTCCAGATGATGTCTTACTAATGATTTGTACAGGGGTAAAATGATCTCTCTCTCTCTCTCTGGAGTCTATACCTCTTTTAATACAAGAGAGGATTTTGCTCCCTTTGAAAACTCAGCTTGGCATTGCATGCCATTATTAAGCTTGTGATCTACCAGAACCCCCAGATCCTTCTCCACCATTGATTCCCCCAGTTGTACCCCCCCAGTATGTATGATGCATGCATATTCTTAGCCCCCAAGTAGATAACCTTACATTTATCAACATTAAACCTGATTTGCCACATAGTTGCCCAATTAAACAGTGCACTGAGGTCAGCTTGTAAGTTGAAGATATCCTGTAAGGACGTTATTCCACTGCACAGCTTGGTGTCATCTGCAAAGACTGAAATGGGAGTTTTTATCTCGGACCCTATATTGTTTATAAATATATTAAAAAGTAAGGGTCCCAACACTGAACCTTGGGGTACACTGACAACAATAGTCCATTCAGAGTATGAATCATTAACCACTACTCTTTGAATACGATCTGTTAGCCAGTTTTCTATTATTTACATATGGATTTTTCCAAGTCGGAAGACTTTACCTTACACATTAGCCGTGTGTGGGAAACTGTGAAACGCTTTTGCAAAATCCAAGTATACCACGTCCACAGCCACCCCTCTGTCCAAGGTTTTGCTCACCTCCTCATAAAAAGAAATCAGATTTTCACTGTACCGACAGGTAAGCTTGTAAGGTAAGTAAAAAAATCTCACTTTACTACCATTTTAATACCATGTCATGAATGGGGCTATGAAGTGTGGTTGGAATTGTGGACCCTCCGTGCAGACTACAGCTGACCTGGAACACAGAAGCACAAAGACAAGAATCTGAAAAAGCATGGAAAACTGAACTCACATGAATGGTAGGAGAATAGTAAAGCACTGGAGTGCAAATCTTACAGGCAGACAGGGCACTGAATACTAGGATGCTGAGCATACAGGAACCAAGGTGTAACATTATATAATATATGAGAAAAAGTGATGATCAAGGAATGGAAGTACATAGAATACATTTGGGATACACAAGGAGTCTTGGACAGTGATGATACCTATTGGAACTGACTGGGGAGAACCCAGCCTGTCTGCACTGACAGCAAAGGTGAGAGCCCTTGAAAGGACCAAAGTGCAGAGCCTTCTCCAGAGTTACTTACAGTGGAGATGAGTTGTGCTACAGGCAATTCCCAGGTTATGGTCTCCAGACTCATCTGAGCAAGCAGCTACTGGCTGTTAATTCATGCCAAATCCTTCCCACTTTCTACTTTATGAATGATGTCAGGCAACAGCCTAAACTCTTTCAGTACATAAAGGGGCATACACTCCACTTTGGTGGAATCGGTGTCTCCCAGAACTTGCTAAACTGGCTATCCCCAAGTTGTGGGATGAATATGGAGTCACCAAAGTTAAGCACTTGTTTATTAATAATATATTCAAATCATTTGAGCAGCTACAGCAGCAATTTCAGCTCTCTAATACCATGTTTTTTTTATTCCTACAACTACAACATGCTGTCCAGTCACAAGGGGATACCAACTGTTGCAATATTGACCATTCTCCCCTCTTTGATGCAATCACCCAAACTACACAGTATGAAGATATTATCTCTACTTGCTACTCTATGTTGCTACCTAGACATCTCAAACAGTACTCAAATAAGACTAGTGAGCATGGGGTTGTTGACCTGTGTGCCCTGGATGCAGATCAATGGTTAATTGCTGATGTGTTCTTAGTTTAAAGCTGCATTCACATCTGCGCATTCTGTGAATGCATATGTTCACAGAAAGTATGAAAAATGCACGTTACTCATGCAGTGCCATTGATTGTTAATGTCACCTCAAACACGACCAGAAAACATGCTTTTTTGCAGAAGACAAATGCACAAAACCACTTGTTAAATAGTGTGCAAAACTCTATGCCCAAAATAAGGTGCAGGAGCTTCTTTGGTGCATTTGCCACATGTAGGGCAGCTCATTTAAATTAATGTGTTGCCCTAATTGCGTCACGCAAAAACGCTTGGTCACATGACATGAAGGTGTGAATGGGCCATACTAAAGCTCGCTCAGAGATTATCCAAGCTTTATATACTTTTGAAAACTAAGTTGACCCCTGCTACATTATTTAAAATGGGGTGCGCCAGAGATCTGAAAGGGATCATTGGGACCTGTTGCATGTGTTTTGGCGCTGTCCAAAATTAGAAGAGTCCTGACATTCAGTCATCTTTCAATTAGAGTCCGCCTTCATATTCCTGTTCCCAAAACCCTTGTGTTTTTGGTGTTTTGGAGGATGAGGATCAACTTGCACAAGTAGCTATCTTTGGGGTTCTATTATAAGCCCACAGACTCATATTAATGTGCTAAGATCCTCTTCCCCTTACCAGCAATGGATTGATCAAATGAGTATGTATTCATCAATGGAGAAGAATATCTACTTGCATTGGGGAGCCTATACTAAGTAAACAAATGTGGAGACAATGGCTGATTATCCCTGACTAAGCAATTTTTGAATTGGTCCAAAATCAACTTTATCTCTGAGGAGGGGGACACTTTATTTGGGTCTAGCTGTATTCCAGATGATTCTGCTGTTTCAGCATGGGGGAGGCCTGTCCACATAGCTTGTTACTTTGTTCTGGTATATTCCCATTGCTAATATATATGGGTCAAGGTGTTGAGCGGAGAGTCCCCTTTGGGGATATTGTATAACGACTGAAAGCATTACTTCTGACTCTCTGTAACTTTCCTCTGATGGGGCATATAATGACTTGTTAACCAAAGTTAAATAATGGATGTTTGATACATTAATTAAACTGATTTTTTTTTAAAAAAAAAAGGAAAGAGACCT